TGGATTTTCCCAGAGTTCCATTTCTACAATGGATTAGGCAAACTGATCATTTAGCAATATGATATTCTTAAATCACATTCAAATCAGTCTTATCAGACTTCTAATCTATAAAAATAAAGCACCAGGTGGCCAAAGGTAGTTTTAGATCTCAGCTTGGGCCTCAGCAAAGGTATTTTTTAGTGCATTAAAACATCAGAGTTTATGACACTTTATCATCAGAAAAACTCTTTTGGCTGAATTTAGAGAGCTGAACTATCCAGAAGAACCTTGGAAAAAGAAAGTGATTTGTTTTCAACTTTCTGATTTACTACTTAAATAAACCAGTGAGTGCTTTCTTTGACCAAAAAAAAGAAGAAAAAAGGTCAAGACCTGTTGATGTTTCTATTTATTTTGCTCACTTGGTTTGGTGTGTGCCTACCTGCTCCCCCATTCTTTTGGTAACTTATATTTCAGTCTGCCACAAGTTAAACAAAAATAAATGCAATAAGGAACACACCAGAATCCTGCACTTAGGCCCTGGACAGACTATGTGTTCCAAACCTAATGAGGTATCTGCAACAGGGTGGGCTGTTGAATGACTACGCAGAATGGATGGCATTTGTTAAATGTCAAACACCATCATGTTGTACTTCAAGTTGTACTTTACTTGGAACACGGAAGCCATCTGTCTTGAGCTCTCACATCCATCTCGAAAGCTCTCCAAATCTTCATGGCTTGCCTTTCCAGGGGAGAAGCTGGACCTCCTGACACCATCTACTCCCCTCCTGCCTCCTTCAAAACCTCATCCCTCGCTTCTCCCTAATCCCTAAATGCCTCTCCACCCAGGAGCTCTACCCCAACAAACACATTCAGGGCTCTGATTCTCAAAATTTCTTCCTTTGACTTCCCAAACTCCCAAATCTATTGTCATACATTTTGTTCACCAAAGGTAATAAAGTGTGGACTCTGGTGCCATTATTGTCCTTTTTTTTAAAAAAAAAAAGAGCTATGTCATTTTTCTTGCCTGTCTGTAAAAATCAAATTGCTTCTTATTTTTTAATCTATGATCCCCCTAGACTTTCCATAGTACTTGGGCCTCTAATCATCTTCTTCTTGGTCCACCACAGGCCAGGTTTTTCTCTTTCCTCTTTGGCCAGTCCTTTTATCTCCTTTGTTGACTCAGATTCCTCCTCCCTTCCAATCCCTCCTGAGATCTTCACCCTCCCCAAATTTTAAGCCACAGCCTTTCTGTCTTTACTCTGTCTCTCACAGCCCTCATTTATTGTTCACTCCATCCAGGTGACTCACAAATCCAGAATCTACACCCTGGACCTTAGTCCTGACTTCCACCAATGTCTTCTCAGTGGGCTGTGCACATGCTGCCACAGTACCCTGCCATGAATTCCACATGTCCCAAACCAGCTCCCCCTCCATACTTTCCCATTTTTGAATTGTTCTCTTATTCACATAGGTTCAACATCCATCCTTTCGTCTTCTTTGTCATCACTGCCTATAGTCCTCATATCTTGTCAATTCATCATTTTAATGCCACCCTCTCTATTCCTACTACTCAGACTTCTACAAGACCCTCATTCCCATCAGAGCCTCTGAACTGCTCTGTTCAATTTCTGCTTCCTAATTTACCTTAAACATCTTCAGCAGATTAATCTTATAATACACAACCACTTTACACACAACACTCTTTTAATAGATTCGCCCATTCCTACATAATTAAATACTAACTCCACTTCCCCTACCACCACCTCCTAATCAGGCCCTGAGCTCTCTCCTACCCCATTTTCCTCTTTTTCACCTGTGTAACTCTTATTTCCAGCCAATGGGGCTTGCTTTCTCCAGAACACCTTTCAAATCCCGGATTTCTAGCCTTTGTTCTTAGAGCCCTCTGCCCAAAGTGACTTCCCTGATCCTGACTTATTTAATAATACCTTCCCTCCAAGGCCCAGGTTAAGGTCTGCCTCCTCCATGAAGTGTGTTTCGCCTGCCCTGGCTTCCAGCAGGCCTCTGAACCTCTCCAGGGGTTACCAGGCTTGTCAATTATCTAGCCTTTAACATAGACTAGGTATGATTTATTGCAAATTTGTCTCTTCAACTTGATGTGTACCTTTGGTGGCAGGGACTTTGTTTTCCATTTTTCTACATGGTGTCCATAAAGTCTGGAACCATCAATTATTTTATTTGCTGACAGGTTGCAGATGTCCTTAATGACATCATGTGCATTGCCTGCATTCTGAACGCGGTGGGCATGGAATATAATCTTTCATGTTGCTATAGTGCCTCACAGGTAGTGGGCATTCAAGTGGGTTAATAATTCCTCATTACCAAACTTTTTTATGTGGTGGCCTAGGAATGAATGAAACAAAGTATGCAATGACAGAACTTGGAGAAAGAGATCAAAATGCAGTTAAAAGGAAACATTAGATATACTTCTCCCAGCCAATTCCTGTTTTGTTTCTCTTACAATATTTCCGCCACCACCCCTGCATTACTGTTCTGTTCCAAACCATCTTTCCAGGCTCAGCTCTGGACTTCACTTCTCTGGAAATCTTTTCTTGACCCACTCTGGCAGTCAGTGTAATTGTAACACTTACTACACCACTGTTGTTTCTGCTTTGTCTTGAGTCCATCTCTGCTAATGAACTTCAGGGGAAAGAACTGTGTCTTGTTCATGTACCACAATATGTATTACCCAGTATTTAATAAATACCTTTGAATGAATGATAAGCAGTAACAATAGCAGGCAACATCTGAACTACACGCTATATGCTAAGCATGCTACTCAGCACCTCACCTGCACTGTTGTATTTAAATCTTACAACAACCCCATGAGCTAGGTACATCCTAACCTCCATTTCACAGATGAGGAATCTGAGACTCCGAGAGGCTAATTATTAATAATTTGCCCAAGGTCACAAGTTAAATGATGGCTTTGCTCCAGGCCTATGTTTGTAGCTTCCTGCTACACTAAACAAATGATAAATAGTAACCATCTTCCTACTACCTTTATGGAAAGGGGCTCTCCATTTCCCTCTCCAGATGTCACCTGAAATAAAGACTTGATCATGTTAAATCACCTGGGGAGCTTTTTAAAATGGGTGTCAAGGCCCCACCCCAGACCAATAAAAACAGTTTTTCCAAGGTGATGGCATCAATATTTTTAATAAAGGATCCAAGGTCATTTTAATGTGAAGCTGAGTTGAGAGTCACCAGCCTAGATTGATTTAAAGGCCTTTCAAGTGCAAACCTTTCTATAATGGAAGCTTCTATAATGGAACTGCCTTCTTTTGTGCCTGAGATCCACAATTCTGACAAAAGACTAATGATGCTGGCCTGGGTATATTATGAACCATGTAGGGATAGAGGAACACCTGCTCATAAAGATAGGATAGGAGCAAGATCCCAAGGAAAGATTGTATCATTGAAGAGTTGGCTGAAGTTGCATAGCTTGAACTTGTATACGGTCAAAATGAAGCACTTTTTTATGTGGTGGCCTAGCAATGAATGAAACAAAGTACGTAATGACAGAATTTGGAGAAAGAGATCAAAATGCAGTTAAAAGGAAACATTAGAACGCTGGAATTGGGGAGATGAACTGTGGCTTAACAAACAGCTTGCCCTGGGTTTCAGTCTGAGTCAAATGACATATCATTGGATTTACACCTCACTTCCTTCAAAACTTCCACACAGAATGAAAGAGCCAACCACTCGTCCTCCAAATTAGGATGTAAAAAAGATACAGCTATGTTGTTGCTGCAAGTAACAAATGAGAAAATATTAGTGAGAATGTTTTATATACTCTAATGCAATCTAAAATATATTGTACCTTGATTTTCACATTGAAATAAAAGATGATTTCTGCTCTACTAAAGACTATTATATATGGGTGATATCATGATATATGAGCTCTGTGTTATTTCTATCCTGCCCAATAAGCAGCAATAAATGCTCTGTATTTAAGCAATTTGTTTATTTCATGCATCTAATCTAGGAGCTTGAGACTTCATCCTCTTAATATGGGCAGGCTTATAAAAATGTAATATTCAGCTTAAAATAAAAATATTTCCTCCAAATATGAGAACTAAAATTAAGGAGATAGAAAATTCAGTGTTGTCCATTAGGATGCTCTTTGCAGACCCCTTAAGAGACATAACAGTCATTCACAATAACTTGGGTCCTTGAGAAAATGACACTGGCTTTCCTTTATTCTCTTTTTTCTTCACACTCTTTCTTAAACCTCTGTTGCCCTGAGGAACAACCCAGATATCAGATGTTCTTTGACTGCTTGAATAGAAGACAGATTCTACTTAACATTATAGCTGAAGAAATCTAGAAATTTAACACAGCAGTTTATCTAGTTTGTCAACACAAAATAAGAATTCTTCAGAATGTATCAAAACAGTATGTTGAGAGTCTTTTTAATTTTTAGAGTAAATATGACACAATAGATAGCTTTAGAACAAGCTAACATTACTATGATTCAGGCATGTGCAACTGGTACAGTTCAGTAGTACATAAACGACTCAAACAAATGTACTATAGGCCAGAAACTTAAGTTACAAAATATAGTCAATATTATAGTGAATACAGATAAGTAAAAACCATTGCTCTCAGATTCTGCACACTTAAAAAAAAAAAAAACAATCTTTATACAATAGTTGAAATTATGCATTTCTACTCAGATTATTAGAGCATATTACAGACACACATAAGCCTAAAAAGTTATGGTCACATTTTGGTTTTGTTCCAGTGGTGCACAATCACATGAAATGTTATATCCGTTTTGTGTGAAATAACCATTTGGCTGAAGTACAATCGCTGCTGAGTTAAAAATATTTCCATAAAAATGTTTAGATTAAAATAATCCTAAGCATTAGGACTGTAATTCTAATGACAGAACAGTCATTAGGATTCTAATGCCTAGGATTACTTTGAAAGTCTTTATGAAGAATCCTTAAGAATTATAGAAATAGAAGCAGTTAGGAAATTTCAGTGTGTTTTGTCTGTTTTTTTTTTTTTTAACATGAGTAAACAAATACTGGATTTAAAGTGCAGCTTCTTTCTCCTCTCCCTTCAATTCTCCCTCCCCCAAGAAGATCAGTTCTGTATTAACTTTTAGAATCTCCACCGAAGATTAAATTGAGTGACAGTCAAGTCTGTTTGTTTCGAAAGTCAATGATGGCCTTCCACAGCGTGCATAGCATCCCTCCCCTGTTCAAAGACACAAGAACACGGTGAAGAGAACATTTCACTGGAAACATTGCCCTTGAAATATAAAAGTGACTTCTTAGCTTTCAGCTGCTCTGGTCAGAACATGAAGATCCCAAAGTCTTATCAGTCATTATGTATTCTTTTTGTATATATTTTCTCATCTTCCTTCCATCCCTTCCCTTTCCACTCCCACAAACTGCCAGGTCCCAAAACATCATTTTACATTATTTGCAGCATTTTTGAAATGTGTCTTTATAGAGGTAGGTGTAATAGTTATGTATGTGCCAGGCCTTAATTATTGTAAGAAATTATATAAGATTATACCAGATTTTTGGATGGCAAATCAACACATCATCCTAATATTTTAATCATTTTGGCACAATCATGAACTAAATTAAGGTATTTGTTTAAGGCACCTCTGGATTATATCTGCATGGTTTTAGTCTGCATATTAGTTAAAGAAAATTCTTCCAGTTGATTTTCATTTACTAATGTATAAATATGATTAGATCACCTCAATATTGCCTGGTCCAGCTAACTCAGTTTACTCAGAACAGCTGAGGGCCAGAGAGCTCTGCCCAGAATTACAGAACTAGTTAGAGACCCAGCTAGGGCAGGGACCCAGACTTCTTGATCTTAGCCCAGTGCTCTTTCCATCATGACAACTGAACAGAAATGTGGTACCTTAGTCTCAGGCATTTTAAATCATCGCGTGTAACACAGAAGAGGACATCTGTTAGCGTGTAATCCTCATCCAAAAACTGTAGAGACAATAAAATAGGCACAAAAGTAAGATGTTTTATATACCTTTAATAAATAACAAACTCTATCCACAACGTAAACATTGGCAATAATTAAAAATGAATCTAAAAGGAAATCTACTAAAAACGTAATCTTCCAGAATTATTAGGGGAAAAGATTTCCTATTACAAAATAATTATAAAGAAACACATCTATATGACTTCCAAATGCAAAAAGTAATGATTACAAGTGACACAGAACTTCTGAATGGTCTTTTAATGAACAGGTAAGACTCACTTGTAATTATATCTGCTGCTTATAAGCAAATGTTTGTATTTAAGAGGTTTGGTGCAATGTAGCTTTATTTTTTCTCAAGTGGATAAAAAGTGTTCCTGGAAAAGTGTTGCTTAAGCTTAATCTCTGAACTTGTTTTTTCCATGGCTAATAAAAGGTACTTTTCTGTAATTCACTGCAAAATCAGATCCTGAATTTAAACTGAAGCTTTTAATTTTATATCATCAATTGCTACTTAATTATGATTTGAGTCTAAGTTAGGGGAATGACTATTTTGGACGACTTGATTGGATGCATTACTTTCCATAGGAAAGAGAGTTGCTTAAATTTATTTAGCAGTAACTTGTTAAATGCAGATTTCTAAGAGACCTTAAATTTTCTTTAGTGGTCCAATAAATTATCAAGTCAAAGGAAAAGACATCTTTATTCTTATTTTTAAAATTTAAATATAAAACCAAAATTAAAATAATATTGTATTGAGTCCCTTTCTATAAAATAATAAATATTATAATCTCTTGGTGTGTGTATATGTGTTTACATATTATAAAATCTGAAAACATAAATGTTATTTATGCTTATTACAAAAGTCTATAAGGAGCAGACAGGAATTAGGTTATTATATATATATATGGTTTGTATAGAAATGTTTCTGACATAAGTTCTCCAACTAGATCTATTTTATTAAGTAGCAATAAATAGCCACTGCCCAGTGGAGTCTAATAATGTTGCAAGAGAATTAAAAATTTAACAAAAGAAAGAATTAGAAAGAATTAGATAAGAATTAGACATTCTTTTAGTCTGTCTTGATTTTTTTCCCCCTACTCTTCTTTATTTTCAATTCAAAACTATAAAAATCCTAAGGGGTCTGAACCACAAAGCTTTTGCCTGCCTTGTTGTCTCTGCACATACCATATCTCCACTCCCCAATCATCTTCCTCTCCTTGTCTGCGCTCCCCCCCGCAAAACATACATAGAGTTGGCCTTGTTTATTCCTACATACTCCTTTAGACTTCAGCTCTTTCATCACCTTCTCTGAGAACCTACACTAACCTCTCCCTCCCTGTCTTATAACACCTGATGCCTTTCTTTCACAGACTTTACCAGTATAGAATTATATTTTTATCTGCGGAATTATCTGATTATCGTCTGTCTACCCTTGTCTGTCAACCTCAGGAGGGCAGGACTGGGTCTGATTGCTCACCAGGGTATCCCCCTATGCCTACAGTGGTGCCTGGCACATAGTAGGCCCTCAGCACTATGAAATAAAGTGAAAGAATACTCGTCCCACAGATTGTTCTCTTTACCCGGCTTATAGTGTCTTCATCAGCTCCATTTTCTCTCAGCCAGTCAGTAAGTTCGGAATCTTCAGTATTTGTGCCAGGAGAATTTAGGGGATACACAGACAACCCAAGAGTTTCTAGAAGAGAATTATTGGGGGAATATTCTTAGCTTCACCTAACACAGGTCATCTGAGACCCTTACAGTCAACAGACATTTATTAATACTTCAAAAGATTTTGCTATTAGAGAATAGTTAATGGAAACAATTGAAATTGGCATTATAAATGATAATATAAATAAAATTCAGACAATTTACTAGTAAATGGAGAGGCAGAAGCAATAATGTAATGATACTCCCACTCAAGTTTATACTTTCTTAGAAAAAACTTTGTGATAAAAATTATACTTTGTGTTTGTTATTCAACAAAGATGAACACAATTAGCAGAGAATCATATAACTATAATAATCTCTTTTTCCACAATGGAAGAGCCATATACCTGAAAAAATAATTATGAATTCCATTTTCCTCTAAATTGGCTAGGATTCTCTAAAGATTATCTTCCACTCCCAATTTCTCATAGAATAAATTTCTTTAAAGTTCCAACCTATGACTTTTTATTATGCCATCTTTATTCTATTTAAGCCTCTTCAAGTTATAAAGAGAAAAAGCTAGAATACACAGAATACAAATGTGAAATGACAAAAATAGTATTATTTTATTCTAGTCATCTCATTGTGAAATCTTTTAAAAGAACTAAAAACCAAAAACATGGACAACGCTATCTATTTTTACTGCACTCATAAGAAGTGATAGTGAGCTACAGTTAAGAATTGGAATTTTTTTTTTTTTTTAAGCAACTCCTGCTTGTAGCTGTGGTACAAGTGACAAATTCTGACTAAGCCATGAATAAAACTGCCTGTTGGCAGCCTGGTTTAACACTACGACTTTAAAACTTTCTGTTATTCACCTGTGGGTTGGGACTTAAGCTTCAGGTGTTTAATTTCTTGGTCTTTTTCTTCAATAGCTTGATGAAGGAGTGCTTGTAATTCTTTCTCTTTCTGAACCAATTCTTCCAGTAATCTGCAGAAGAAAAGCATATTGGTTGACAGGGAAATAAAGCTGGTGCTGACACAGGGTGATCTTCTAGACGTGGGCTTTTCAAGCTACAATGAGCACAGACACCCCTGGGATTTTAGTGGAATAAAGATTCTTGCCCAGTAGCTCTGGGGTGAGGTCTGAGCATTTTTTTGTTTGTTGTTTGTTTTACAGTTTAAAGATAGAAATATTTTATTCCATTAATAATTTGGTATTCTTCCTCCCATCCCTCAGTCACTCACAGATACTGCACTTAACAGTTTTCTTTGGTGTTCTGTGGGTTCCTTTCGGAATGTTTTCAAACTGCTCTAGTCTCCTGGTTAGTTGGCATTCAAAAGAACACTACGCTCAAGCCCAGTTTCTCACTGCCAGTGTGTGGGTCCTAATGCTGGAGGCAGATCCTACCAGCTAACATTTAACCTAGTGAGACTGCATTTCTAATGAGCTCCTGGGCAGCACTGATGTTGCAGGTCCACAGACCCCCATGTGCAGTCGCAAAGCTCTGGAAGACTCTGCGCTTCCAGATAGGAATTCAAAACCCCCATCCATCCCAGATTGTCTGCTGACAGCTTCAGAGATGTTCTACTGTTTCTTTTATGACCCTAAGGGTCATATATTTTTGATCCTAAGTGTCAAAAATATAAATATGGGATATTAACAGACCTATATTTTATATGTATGGCCCCTCATCCAAAAGAAAAGTTGATAAATATGGATAATATCATATTCAATGCAAAGGAGAAAGGTAATCACTTTTCTTAAACTATGAAAACTTGAAAAATAGCTATAGATAAGGTTGCCAAGAATATGTGGCACATAAAAAGTGCTCAATAAATGTTCACGGTTATTACTCGTATTCCTCTCACTTCTAAGGGGGACAGTGTCAAGTGGGAAAAGGATAGCTGTGTTCCTAATACACTCGGTTCCTAGCTGGCAACTGATGCAGTCTCTAAAGAAACCAGGAGAAACTATGATATTCATACCATAGTTCTTATCCATGGAAGGTTCACCATGCAAGTGAGAACCAACTGGTAACCTACTCACTATTTCCAACACTGTTTCTCAGAGAAAACATTCCAAGTTATGAAAAGAGATGCTCTAAGTTTTTAGAAAAGTACCTTTGGGTAACTTGGATTCAGAATTATAATAATTTAAAATATATAATTATTAGTAAGATCAAGATAATTGTCCCCTGCAGCTCTTAACAAGGTGTATTTGTTTCATTTTCTGAGTATGGATAGATTTAACTCAGGACAATGTTTTATCCAAAAGCTAGTTTCTGCTTCAGTTGACATGTTCTAAAGGCAGCCTGGTGCAACTGACAGATGGACCCAGGCTTGTGTTCTGGTTCAGCCACATACTTCCTGTGTTAACCTTAGACAAATTACCTAACGCCTGTGGCTTCAGTTTGCTCATTTGTAAAAAGGAAAAATAAAACTTCCTGAAAGGATTAAGAAAGAGACAGCATAGGTAAAGTGCCAAGTACAGTGCCTGGCCTTTAATAAAGGCTCTTCTGTTCCCTGCTGCAGCCTCAGGCTCTGGAAAAGAGCCCTCCCAGAGGCAGTGGGGGTTGCTTCCTGGACCCTCAGGCAACACTCCATTCCCACAGGACATGAAGATGAGGCCCTTAGGTAGGAGAAGGGATTCATAGTAGAGCAGGTAGCAGAGGTGGGATAAAAGCAAAACACAATGACAGGCAGAGAAGGTGGTTTCAGGAAGGCAGGTAAACAAAGACAGCTGCACAATGAGCACAGTGCACAATTAGGTGGAGGAAGCAGCACGCACTGAAAGCAAGACGAGGAAGCAGAGGGCTGGAGGGAAATTTTTTTTTATCTACTCCAACACGAATAATATTCAAAGCAGTGGATAGCAAATTCCTACAGAGCTATGAATTTGTAAGTTGGCAGTTTTTGGTCTGGTGTGTATATTTTTGTCTCTACATGTATGGAATAGTGATGGCCTATCTTATCATTTTCTCAAAGAACACAGTGACATTTTCTAGAATTTAACCTACTTTGTCTAGACTATGTAGCTCCGTTTTTTCTTTAAAAGCCAGAAATTTAACATTAGAAGCACAGTATCGACAGGCCGCCTCATTTGTCCCAAATCCAGCTCTTAGAAGTGTTACATAGTCCATCAGTTTTATTGTTCCTTTGTGTTCAGCTAGTCAGGAAATACTCTGAAATCAAGACAACTGTCTGCCTTTTTGTTCCAGAGAAGTGTGGCAAGGGTCTGCCATGAGGCCAATTTTTAACTCGGACGGATGGTGGTGGTGAGGTAGTTGGTGGGTAGTTCCAGAGTTGCAGGATATCAGTCAGCTCCTTCTGAGTTAGGTTTTAATAATGTCCCTGCATCTCCTTGTGTGAAGTGAGTTTTCAGAACATTTTAGGTAGCATATACTTAAATAGAATCAAAACATACATTCTCAACCCATTTTGTTACTTTCTGCCATTTAGTACTATCGATGATCTAACAATCAAGAACTGGATAAACCTGATTTACCTTCATCAATGATTATCCCAAATACTATAAACTTAAGATTTTTAATACAAGAGTTACAACCTTTCCTAAAAACACACTAACATTTCCTCTGGATTCATTTTGCAATAGATATATTTTTGTATTTCAAGTAATGTTCAACTGAAAATTACAAGGACCAATATAGACAGGAATGGCCCCTATTTTGGTCACTTGGTGCTTGTCCTAAAGCAGCTGCCCCTTCTTCAAGTCATGCATGAAGCAAATATTGTCCCTCATCTCACTTTTCTGAGGGTGATGGAGGATCTGCAGGAGATATTACTGAAAAAAGAAAAAGGAGGCCAATTACCCTGTAGATTTCACAGATTCAAATGTAAATATGTGGAGAAAAAAACATAAACATGTGGGGTGTTCTGAAAAATGCAGCTATGTGCCAATGTAATAAAGAAATGTGGCAAATGCTAGTCTCTTCCACAGTGATGGGCAGACTTGAGGAGCAGGCCCTCAGCTAGGGACTGAGAGACCCTCAGAAGAGAAAGGGGAAGCCGTGAAGAAAGCGGCTAGAGCAGAACAGCCCTCGGGGACCACAGATGGCGCCAGGGTGGTGGAGAGCACGAGGCCAACCCAACAAGCCAAGGACAGAAGGGCATATCCAGGCTGCACTGGAGAGGCAGGGCCTATTGACATAGCCAGGGCGTGGAGGCAGGAGGTTTCAGGGCCAGAAAAGCAGATATACCAGCTCTTTGGTAAACAAAGTAGCTTCACTGTCTATGTAACTCTGACCAGAAGCCATGGGCAGGGAGGGCTGGACCAAAACAGTAATGAGTGATCTTTCCTCCTCCAGAGATCAGAGGAGGGGTCCAAAAAACAACTCCACTGAGGACTGTGTGATAGTTACCTAAAGAGAAGTGACCACTATTAACACCTACTATAAATGGGTGGGGTGTTACCACTGGACTCCTGCTTGAGAAGAGGAGGAATGAGGGACACCAGATTTAGATGAAGTCTCAAAAGAAAAAAGACCCAAGTTCTTTTCCACTAAATAGTAGAGATGGCAAGTAAAGGGCTGGGTTTCAGAGGATGAGATTGGGATATGGAAGTCAGCCAACTTTCCTTTATTAAACGGATTTCTCTATGCACATGATAGATGACATATATGTATGGATTTATGTAATCATGCAACAAAAATGCATGTTTCTGAACATAGGATGAGCTCTGCACTACTTGTACTAAGTTTGATATTCAAACTTACCTTTAAAAACCTATACTTTATGACTAGAAATGAGATATTTTTTTGTCTCCCTGGTGAACAACTACAATTTTCAACTAAGGTTTCTAAATGTCTGAACAGCTTTTATTGATTCACTAACAAAAAAGTTTTCACTGCAGACCCAAAGTCATAGAGTCAGTTTCCCACATGTCAACTGTAGCCAGCACAGGAAGCTATAAATCATAAAGATTTAGACGTTGAACTGTGCCGACAGCTGTGAAGAACAGGAAATATTTACTGTTCACTTATTAACCTGATCCTGTGGGTTCTACGCTACCTAATTCTCAAAGACAAACTCCACAGATGTCACAGCATATTGAAAATAAAACAGAATCTTAAATGTGGTCAACTATCCTCCTTTTAAGGTTCTAAAATGCAAAGCTTTACCACCATTAATTAGTTCCGTCCCCTCAAGCACGGAGATTTCCTTGTCCTATAAGAACTTGATATTCCAAATCCCAGGCTTTGAAGGACGTGGGCTTTCTGTTCTGTCTTTCAGTTATCAATCGGAAGGTACATGCTGCTCTGAGTCTGCTTCCAAGACACTCTAGGAGGTTACAACTAAGTTGCTCTAAAAATCTCAGTGTACTTGGAGATAAAACAGCAAAGACATGATGCTGCGGAAGGCTTCAAATGAGAGAAAAAGAAAGCAGTATTTAACAAAAGAGATTAAAATAAACCTCTCTTGTTTTATAAAGAAAGGCATTCAATCAAGTTTACATGAATGGGATAAAGGAATCATATTTTGTATTTTCTTTGGACCGAGTTTTAAAGCAGACCAAAAACATATGCACTTTTATAAAAATAAGAAAAAAGAAACCAACCCTTGTCAGGGTGGGACTTACCTATTAGTTTCTATTTTCATCCTTCCGAGCTGTATGCTCAGTGATCGGTGGGCATTCTGGGAATCGTGGGATACGGTAGAACTGAGCGTGCTCACCCCTGAGGTAGCCACAGCGTCTTCTATGACGGCCTGAGGTCTTCGGACAGTTTGATTAGAAGGCTGTTCCTCATGGTCGTCTTCCACATCCAAATCTTCTTGGTCAGCGGTATCACTTTCCGATGCAAGGCTGAAATGTGGTCTCAGTTCTGTTGGGCATATCAACAATAGCGTCAATTAGATAGGACGGAATCAATCCCTTGATTTCTTGCGATACGAATGTCAACCCTCCTGCTATCAATAAGATACGGACTCCAAACTGCTTTCTCAAAAGTGAGAATGGATTTCTGCACATTAATTCAGATTGTTCTTCCAGTGAATTTGCAAAACCCGCAAGATATATAAACTCAGAATGATCTAATTCAAACAGAAGGAAAATGTTCACACGGCACATTAATATATGTGGGAAAAAAGCTAAAAAATGAAAGAAAGGTAATGATGTAAAAACCTATAAAAATTGTTTATATAAGTACAATTCATTTTTAGATTGTATAGTATGTGGCAACTATTAACTTGCTTACAGATAAAGAGAGATTATATAAACAAGAGTGAGTGTACAGAATGCTCTTTGCCTATAACATCCAAAATGTAAGGGGATGCAGGAGAGGTGCTGAAAATGGCCCACACAGGCCAGCATTCACTGTAGAGAGACGATTTCTCTTTGACGACTAGGCTGATTTCTAGTGTGTCCTCTTCTCACTTGTTGACTAACAACTGAAATTTAAAATACTCAAGTTACAAGTCTGCACTTAAACATACTGTATAACATGAGTTCATCTGCATGTCACTTCAGTACTTGGATGATATCTTCCCAAAGGAAAAAATATTATAAATTGTGATTAGTTCTGCAAACTGAGCCACAGAAAGGAATTACACTCATAATTTAAGTGAAATCAGGGCAGAAGAAATATTGGATCTTGACTCCGTATGTTTTGGCACATGGAACTTTTACTGGGTCACAGAACCCACCAAGAACTTGATGAAACTCACAGGAACTCTCCCCAGAAGAAAAACATTCATACAACATTTTGCCTAAATTTCCTAATCGTGCCTAGATTTCTTAGATTTGCACCGACTCCCTGAGGCCTCTCCCAGGTGTCCATGAACCACAGGTTAAGAGCCTCTGTGTGGAGGACGGGGGTCCAGTGGGAGCAATGGAAGACCCCATCCCACCACACTAACATGGCCACTATGGCAAGGTCACCAAAGGCCTGCCAGCCAAATCCTCTAAGTAACTTTTCTGTTTTTATCTTACTTGACCTGTGTACAGTATTTCCCCCTAAATCGCTGGCTGCTGTTTTTCTTCTTTAGAGCCTTTTTCTCTATTACCAGCCCCTTACAAGCTAGAACCTGGGACTCTATTTTATGTTTCTACTCATTCTCCATGGATGTGTTCATTCAACTCTATGGAGGTTAAGTCCTTCTGATGTGTGGATGGCAAACTCTACCTATAGCCCCAATCCTGGTAGATGCGGAACCTTCTATACATTCCTGTTGGGCAGGCACGTCAAATTCAACAAAAGAGAACTCACCATCTTTTATTCATTAAGAAAACAAGTGTGTCCTTCTTCAGGGCCAGGTTTACATAGCCCTGGCTTCCTTTATCTCTCTTTTTAAATTTTTCATTGTGGTTAAAAAACATGCATGACACAAAATTCACCATCTTAACCATTTCTAAATGTACAGTTCAGTAGCATCAAGTATAATATATTCACATTCCTATGCAACTGATTTCCAGAACTTTTTCATCTTGCAAAACTGGAACTATATCGCATCAAACAACTCACTGTTTCCCCCTCCTTCCAGCCTCCAGAAAGTACCATTCTAATTTCTGTTTCTATGAAGGTGACTATTCTAGATACCTCATACGGAATCATATAGTATTTGTCTTTTTGTGACAGGCTTATTTCACTTAGTAGAATGTCCTTAAGGATCACCTATGTTGTAGCATGTGTCAGAATTTCCTTCCTTTTTTTTTTTTAATTTCAGGGTTTTATGAGGGTACAAACATTTTGGTTACATTTTATATCTTTGCCTCACCCAAGCGAGGGTCAGAGGCATGCCTGTGTCCCTTAGTTGTGGGTTCACCCCTCCCATCCCCCCAATCCCTGCAGAGTATTACTGCCATGTGAGCACCCTAGTGTTTATCAGTTAGTACCAATTTGATGGCGAGTACAAGTGGAGCCCATTCTTCCGATCTTGTGATGCCTCACTTCGGATAATGGGCTCAAGCTCAATCCAGGAAAATATAAGAGGTGCTAGATCACTGTCGTTTCTTATGATTGAGTAATATTCCATTGTATACATATACCAAATTTTAATAATCCACTCATGAATTGA